GCGGGCAGATTGCTTGAGCTCAAGAGTCTGAGACCAGCCTAGGTAACAAAGTAAGACTCCATCTCTACAAAAAAATACAAAAATTAGCCAGGGGAGGCAGCATGTACCTGTAGTCCCAGCTACTCAGGAGGCTGAGGTGTGAGGATGGCCTGAGCCTGGGAGGCAGAGGCTGCAGTGAGCCATGATAACCACACTGCACTCCAGCCTGGGCAACACAGCCAGACCCTGTCTCAAAAAAAATGAAAACAACAACTTTTACTGCTACTATCATGTATCTTGCAAGGAGAGACTTTAAGAATATGTACAATTCTAGATTCAGAATTTTCCTAAACCAGGCAACCCTAACTTTCCCTGGGAGGCCAGCTGACCACCATCTTCTGGCCTGGCTGCACATCGAGTCCTGGCTGACCCACAGCGCAGCGTGGTGACCAAGAGGACGCCAGAGGCCAGAACAGTCGTGGGGTTGGAGCTGTGCTATGACAGCCGGTGACACCTGCCATTCTGGCAAGCCCTGCCCTGGGCCTTACATTTGTTTATTTAGTGCAAGGTAAAGGCAAGGAAATAGAGACACAGGCGAGCCTGGGCCCTTTCCTCGGGGGCTGCAGCACAGGAGCTGTGGGGCCTCAGAGCTGTTGAGGGGGCTGTGCTGGAAGATGCTGCGTGGCAGTGGGAGCTGCAGTATATTACCCCCCACCCCCACCCTGGGAAAAGGCTGCCGGTTTTGGTTTCTAAACCCTTGGCCGTGTTAGGGCCCCGGGGAGGAGGAGAGGTGCCTGCTGGGGATGCGTGGGCCAGGTTCTTGCTTCAGACTCCGTTAGAACCACCTTGTGGAACATCTGTGCAGCCATAGCACATAAAAATGTTTTCCTTCTGGCAGCCACTTTTATAAGGATGTAATAAAATATGCATTGCACAGAGCCTTCTATTTTTGGTGGGTCGGTATTGCCAGTGAGCTGACCCTGACCAGGTGTGGAGGGGCATGGGCGGGTGGGCAAAGGCTATGGAAACATGGCCGGGTGCTCTGAGCCCTGTGCCCCTCGCTCCCCAGGTGGCGTCTCCTTCCTGCCCCAGCCCCTGCGTGGCCATTGATGTGGGCTCAGCTTCCCTACCATGGGCTGAGGCCCCCTGTGTTCTGGGGAGTCCTTCAGCCCCTGGGGACAGTGCTGCACACGGCGAGACCGAGCAGCCTTCTCCACCTGACCTCGTCTACCTTTGGCAGCCAGAGGGTTTCCCTTGTTTGCTGGAAGATGACTTGATTCTGAAACACAAAGATGGGAACCAAGAGGCCAAATTACTGATGAGACTGAACTTGCCCCAATGACCCTGGGCCTCACTTTGGGCTGTTGGTGTCCGTTTAAAATGGGTCCCACAGTGAGCTCAAAGCCCTCTTCCCTTCCCTGGGATGGCCGGGAATCTGCCCTCTGCATGGAGCTGGGGAGGAGGAGAGACTCCGATTTGCTAGAAGGGCCTCATTCATTTCCATCCAACCCCCAGGTTCCCTGTCCGCAGGGCTGACTTCACCCAGCCCTGAGCCCAGGCACCTTGACCACCTCCAGGTGGGAGAGAACACACAGTCCCTGGGGGTCGGCATCCAGAAGTTCTTTTTGAAGATGGGTGGATGGAGCCCCTCCCTCCTGAGGGTGCCCCCCAGCTCCTTTTCAGCAGACAGCCTACCCCATTGTCTTGGCAGCAGCCTTTTACTAGTGGCAGATGATGTTCCACGCCCAGCAGGTTCTGGAATGTTGCTCTCACCTGGACCGCCTCTTTGTTAGATGCCACTCCCTTTCTCGGACCCCATGGTGCTCTGGAGCACATGGCTTTGTGAGCAGATGCCTGTCAGGGACAAGGGACAGCTCTATCAGAACAGACCAAGCCCAGCCTGCCAAGCTGTGATGTTCTCTCACTGCTCGGTTCCCCCTCTGCCATCTGCAGCGACATAGGTGAGGTGTGTCCCCTGGCAGACAGCAGGCCTTCAGAGCCCTGCCAGAGTCTCTTAGGTCTCTCTCACACACCCACATCCCCTGTCCCCTGGCCTGGACAGCCCTAGTTCTTTCCCATTTCTTGGTGTCAGACCTTTTCAGTAGATGAATTCTAACTTGTTCAAAGCTTTTAAAACCCAGTGCCTGAGCAGGGCACAGTGGCACACGCCTGTAGTTCCAGCTATGTGGGAGGCTTAGGTGGAGGGTTTCAGGAGTTCCTGTCCAGCCTGGGTGACACAGCAAGACTTTGTCTCTTAAAAAAAAGAAAAATTTTAAAAAAAAGCAGTGCCCTAAACAGAATCCAGCCCTGCAGATGTAGCTGGGCCGGGACAGAACAGGGAACCACTGCCTTCCCCAGCAAGCGTTGGAACCTGGTGTCGGCAGTGTCTTCGTCATGTGGTGGGGTGGGAATGCTGCCCTAATCTGGGCACGAGTAACAGTGTCATTTATGCACCTTCGGGTTGCACAGAAGCTTTCCTAGCAGCCACATCGCATCCTGGTCAAACTTGAAATTGTCTAAAAACCACATGTCTCTTCATAGGATCTGTTTGCAAGTCAGCAGTTCCCCATTTTGTGCTGCATGAAATGTACACCTGAGCCTAAATATCTAGTTTGTGTTTGCCCAGGTACATTTAACTGGCGTGCTCAAGTAGGAAGAGCAGAGGTGTCAGAATCTAACAGCGCTGTATGGTTCTTGCATCTTGAAGCTTCAGTTTCCTTGGGTTTAAAACAGGATTCCCAGGAAGATGAGGGAGCAAGGTGGCCGCCGGTAGCTGCGCTCGTTGTGTGACTAGCCCGGGTTTCTGGGTTCTGTAGTGACCCTCTGACCATCTCAACCCTTGGCAGTCGATAGGTTGCTGCTAATTCTCAGCTGGGCCTTCACTTAATCTTGGACAAACAAATTGACCAAAGGCAGAGACTGCTACAGGGTGCCGTGTCACATATGCAGTGCACACATCGTTCTGTGCCAGTGAGCTGACCCTGACCAGCTATGAAGGGGAGGGGCGGGGTGGGCAAGGGGACGGGAAACGTGGCCAGGTGCCCACCCCTATCAGCAGGCCTCCACCCTGCCCTTCCTCTCAGCCACAGGAGCAGGACGGTAGATGGGAACCTGCCAGAAGGATGCAATCCTCTTTAAGTAGTTCTGTTTTCTTTTAGCCCAGCATCCAAACCAAAAAAGGTGTTCTCGTGGAAGGGCTTGTTCACAGTGAGCCTGGCTGGCTCCTCGTGATCTCTGACTTTAAAATGTGCCAGCATATGATTTTAACAAGACCATCAAAAATTGTTATCTGGATCAGTTTCAAGCTAGCATTTACTTGGCAGAGTTTATTCTTCCTTATTTGACAAAAGTCAGGTCGGCTGGGCCCGGTGGCTCATGCCTGTAAACCCAGTACATTGGGAAGCCAAGGGAGGTGGATCACCAGAGGCTGGGAGTTCAAGACCAGTCTGGCCAACATGGCGAAACCCTGTCTCTACTAAAAATATTTTTTAAAAAGCCAATTAGCCAGGCTTGGTGGGAGGGACCTGTATTCCCAGCTTTTGGGGAGGCTGAGGCAGGAGAATCACTTGAACTTGGGAGGCGGAGGTTGCAGTGAACCGAGATAATGCCATTGCACTCCAGCCTGAGTAACAAGAGGGAAACTCTCAAAAAAGAAAAAAGTTGGGTCATCCACTGGCGCCCTCTAGTGTCAAGGGTTGCAGTCACAGGATGGGTTTGCCCAAGCCTGGAAGCCTGGTTGTTGATAGTAGCTTGGTTCTCTCCTGCCCTCTGCTCTAACCGGGTCCTTTTCTCCTTTCCCAGCCTGAAAGTCATTCTCCCTAATGAGGAGAAGTAGAAATGGGTGAGAAGCAACAGGGCCCTTACCCTCTGAGCACAGTATCTGCCCTGCCAGCCTCGCCCCTGTTCTCTGGGTTCTAAAGAGAGAACCCCGCCCTTTGCTGTTTTTTTTTTTTAATCGGTTTGAACTCATTTTGAGCTCTGCCCCTTCTGATGCTGCTCTTTTCTTCCTTTTTGATTATTTCAGCTTCCACATTTCATTTCAACAGCACTGGTCATGGTAGCTGCGCCTTCTTATCTTCAGTGTAGTAATGTTGAGCATTTACGTGCCTAGCACTCTGCCAGGTGCCCTGTGAGTCACGAGACAGGCACATCTCTCCTTAAAGAATTTATATTCTTGTCAGGGAAATAAGGCTTCAGAGAAGAAAAGCAATCAGAAGTGCCGAATTCCTTCTTCTCTACCTGCCTCCATGCCTCCTTCCTCCTAGTTGAGATGATTGGGTCAGAGCCAGCTCTTTCTGGGCTTGGGAAGAGGAGATGGGGCTAGAGCTGCTGCCGCACCCCTCACAACCTCAGAGTCGGCATTGAGACTCTCTTGCTCAAACTCCCCTCGCAGAGTAGAATGAAACAGGCCCTGGAGCAAGGAAGGGTTTGACCCAGGCTCTGCCATTGCCGCCTGCGTGACTGGTGCGAGCCACTGCGTCCCTCTGGCCCGGAGTCTCTGTCAGAGGCTGTCAGTCCCTCTCTGCACGACCTGCAGCAGGTGGCATCACGGAGCCACCATTTGGGAGCATGAGGGCGCAGGACCAGCACGGAAGCTTCCCCTGCAGTGTCAGGCGCTTCAGGTGGATAGCCGGGGCCCAGGCCTGGGCCTGTCAGTAGAGGCCTGAAGACAAACTGCGCGAGTCTTCTCCAGTTGGCTCGGGTGAGCCGGTGCCTGCCAAGGGCAGCCGCCCTCACGCTCCCTGCTGTGACTCGGGGCATCTGCCTGTCTACCGCAGGCAGCAAAACCTTCTCCCTTGCAAGTGGGGGCTCTGGGCTTCTGCCCACTGGGCTCTTTATGGTCTGAAACTGAAGTCATTTTGTGTTTCAGTTCCCAGGCCGCAAGAGTGACCTTGTCACACCTGCAGCTGGCGCCGTGGCAGGAACAAAGTCTCTCTGCAGACCATGGAGGTGGGCTGCACTGTCCGCCGTTCTCAGAAAGCCCTGGCTTTCTCTGACTTGGAATGCTTCTGTATTTGCAGATGGAGAAAGATGAGACTGTGAGCGACTGCTCCCCACACATAGCCAACATCGGGCGCCTGGTAGAGGTGAGTGGCCTGGGCTCTCTGGGCTCCTGCGTTGACCCATGGCAGTGACACTGCATCCCCGGAGCCGCCGTGCTGGCTGCCGCTTCTGCTGCTTTCTCCTAGCTCCACAGAAGCCGGCAGAGCGGGCCTTGGATTTTGCCCTGGCCTCAGATTTTCAGAGGCCTCTGATTTGGATGCCAGCAGGCTCCAGCTTCAGGGCCACCTCCTCCACCCCCCAAACCTGAGCTCCCAGAAGACTCTGTTCAGGCGCTGGCACTGGGGCACGCTATGTCTTGTCTGCCCTGATCGCCTGGGTGTGAACAGGCCCTGCACTGGGAAAGGAAGCAGGTCCCGGGAACGCAGTGGGCCTTGGCACAGCTTCAGTTTCGGCTGCCTCGGCCCTCCTGTCACCACGTTGTTTCGGAAGGAGGGGCGGTGCTCTCTGGTCTCACAGAATTGTTCACAAAATTAGTGGGGAGTCCGAGGGGTGATGATGTGGTTTAGACCAGCTCCCAGGCATGGGCAGAGTTGGCCGCCGGTACCTGGGTATTGGCTTCCTCCCTGCCTGAGGACGGGAAGGCGCCTGGAGCACAGATTGCAGGTGGAGCGCGCTCACCCATGTCCCAGAGCAGGCCTGTGCCGCCCTCCAGCGGCCACATTGGGGACTGCAGGGCTGGCAGGCCGAGGGAGGATGTGGGCCCGGGGTTCCTGACCATTTTGCCACATCCCTTCCAGGACATGGAAAATAAAATCAGAAGTACACTGAACGAGATCTACTTTGGAAAAACAAAGGATATTGTCAACGGTCTGAGGTAATGTACCAGAAGGCACAAGCTTTAGAAGCAGAAAGAGGGATTTGAACCCTGCCTCTGCCAGTTCCTAGCTGTGTGGCCTTGGGCCCGGGTTTCCTCGTTTGTAGCCTGCAGCACCCCTCTTCTAGGATTGTTATGCCAGTCTGGGGAAGTAAAGTCCTGGTGTGCCATCTGTACCCTCAGTAGCAGCTATCGGTCCCTACCTGCACCGTTGGTTTTCTGGGGCACATTCACTCTAACGGCCATTGGTGCCCTCGCCCCAGAGCCTCCTCAGGCCTGCAGTTTGTTAGTCCCCGTGCAAGAATGTGCCCAGCCCCTCCATCCTGGGCCTGGGGGAGCCTCGAGACCTCAGCCTGGGCCTTCTCAGGGGCCCCAGCCTCTCTGACGTCCTCTGCCAGTGCTCTGCTGGCAATGGCCAGTGTTCTGCACCGTCACACCCACCTGGTGCCCTTGGCTCTGCAGTGTCAGCCTGAACAAAGGCCGGGGCTCTCTGGACCCTCCAGGTCCATGGTGGACAGAGCCAGAGGCAGGCCTCTTGCATGAGGCCAGAGCCCAGTGGGGACAGTAAAGACGGCTGTGGAGTGAGCACTGGCCCTGGAGTCAGGAGGCCAGGATCTCCCCTAAGCTCTGTCATCCTGAGCTACGAAGCCTCTGGCACACCTCGAAGAGGCCCTTGTTTGATGGAGGAGGCGGGTCAGCTGAGGTGATGAATCTGGAGCACGCTCTGCAGTCGCGCAGCACCGTGTGAGTCCGGGCTGTGCTGTGCCCTTGGCGCCCAGCCCTCTCACCTATTGCCATGGCAGAGATCTCACAGCCCAGCCCGGAGGAAAGGCAGGATGCCGCTCTGGGGCGACCCTGGCTCATGGATTGGGGTGGGTGACAGCTTTCAGTCGCCTGCTCCACAGTTTTAAAACAGGCGGTGTCCTCCTTGGGCCAATGTCTTCCTGATCTCCTGCCCACCTCAGGGAGGCTTGGTTTCATGACCTGTGGCAGGTTCAGAGCCCCGTGGTCCCAGGTGTCAGGACGGCCACCTGCAGCCACTGCCCAGCCACACCAAACACACTTTCCCTCCTGGCCAACCTGCACAGTTCCCAGGCAGTGGCTGGGAAGTGAGGGAGACAAGCAGAAGAGCCTGCAGGGTGGCGGTAGCAAGCCCCTGAAAACCATGACCACTGCCCACGGCGATGCCACTCCACAGCCCGAAGCCGCCAGGGCACTCCCCTTCCGCCCCGTGGGTCTCCCTGAATTTCCTCCTCAGCTGTGGCTCCTGCATTCCCTGTGTTCTCGTCGTTCTCTTCCCTCCCGCCCCACTCATCTTGAACACTCTCTGTAGATCTGTTGATGCTATCCCTGACAACCAAAAGTTTAAGCAGTTGCAGAGGGAGCTCTCTCAAGTGCTGACCCAGCGCCAGATCTACATCCAGCCTGATAATTAGGCCGATCCAGGTACCCTGCCTGAGAGCCGCGAGACCCTCCCCACTAAACAGGACTCACCAACCCGCTGAGACCCTGCCGGTCTGGCTGCTGCTGCGCAGCCATTTAAACCACCACTAACCCCCACGTGTGCCCCCGGCCGGTGAGCAGCCGCATTCCTGTGGAGCCTCAGCCCCATGTGACACGGCACCAATCACGTGTGTGTTCTTTGCACTATGGGCGGAGGCTGGGTGTGGGGGAGACAGCTGATTTATTTGGCTTTTGCTTCTGAAGAAGCCCAGGCAGAGGGATGGATGCTGCCTCTCCAGCAGCAGCCACTTGTGTGCACTGGCCTGACTGTCCCCAGTGGGGGTCTGCCTGCACGCCACCCCCAATGCTTCAGAGGAGCCTCTGACGCTGGTGCAGGGGTCTCAAGCCAAATAAGACCCCTGCTCAGCACCGCATTGGCTGTCTGGGGCTAGCTGACTTGGAAGGGGTGACCTCACCCTCTGATCTCTAAGTTTCTGGGGTTGGAGGGCAGAGTCAGGGTTGGACTCCACCCTGGCCAGCCCCGACGCACTGCTGAAGCTGCCTGGATGCCCAGAGCTGATGCGGCCAGGACCAGCATAACCTTCTGCCCTAACGAGCTGCAGCTATTCCTTTAAACAGGTTACACTGATGGAAAGGAAAATAGCCTTGCTTGTTGGTAATGGCCAAGAACCATGACTTGAGCTTGTGACAGATCCAGATGCAGGGAAGGAGGCAGCATCCGTGGAGAGCAGGAGGGAACCTTGTTTGTAAAACTAAGGCATTTGGAACTCTGCCGGCTGGGGCTGCAGAGCCCAGGTCCAGGGGCTCTGCATTGAAGGCCCACCCCGGAAGGGGTGCAGTGGGCTTTCCAAGGTGGAGGTGGGGTCAGGCACTTAGAAAACCAGGTGAAGCTGCTTTTCCCAGGCCATGGGACTTAAGTGCACCAGTCTGGTCTGTGAGTACCAGCTTAAGGTCCAAGACTCTCTGGTCAGCCTCGTAATGGGGCCATCAGACATTTCCATCATGGCATGGAGAAAAAGACCCTTTTTAAAGTACACTGTGATGGTGCAGTTCCCTGGTCGCCCACTGGGGGCATCCTGGCATAGAAACCCTGGCAACCAGGTCTGCTCAGGACCGCTCCTCCCTCCCGCAGAGTCGAGCACTGTCTCTAAGCGCTGATTCAAGGTTGCTTGGCCATGACCTTCCCAAGCTCTGCCCCTTAAATGAGCCCCCTGCTCCTTCCACCCTCTACCATTTCACTTCTAACTTCCTGTGTCTAACTTGATTCTGGCTCTGGAACTTTCTCCTTTGTGGGGTCCAGCCAAGACCTAGTGTGCTTGGCTCTTCCTTCCCAGAAGAGCTGGTGACCACCCAGGTGCAGGGTCCCGTGCGCTGCTGCTTTACCCTCGCATCTCCTACTGGCCGTGTTGACCTCCTGCTGAGAGCTTGGCAAGAAGCCCTTGGGGGATTGGCTGAGATTTGGAGCCTGAGGGCCATGGGGGCTGATGCTTTGGCCGCTGCAGAGCCAGGGATAGTCCCGGGCAGATACTTAGAAACATGTATTTCCCCAGCATAAACCAAAATGTCTGCATTTCTCATGGGAGTTCTTTCGGTTGTGTGCAGCTTGCTTCCAGGTCTTGTCTCTGGCACCTGCTGAGTATTTTGAGGGCTCTTCCTGTGACTTTTAGGGATTCGGTAGCCAGAACGCAATCTGGGGTGCTGTTGCTTCTCCCAGGCCCTGCTTCACTTCCCTTGACCCATTTTTGCCTGTGGGGATTGATTTTTCTCACAATTCCTTCCCATGGCTAGTATGAGTCAAACGTGAGAGTCCAGCGGAGCACACCCTCGGTAGCGCTCTCCCTGAGCAGCCCTCTGCCCGCTCTTTCCACTGCTTCTAAACTGACACAAAACGTACATTTAGGAAGTCCTTGCCTAACCAGTATGTTGGGTAAAATCGACAAAATGATTAGAGAATTGCTAGGGGGGCATTTTTCTGAGCCTCACTTTCCTCGTCTGGAAATTGGGTTAATGGCTTTTTTTTTAAGCCTTGACTTTGTTGTTTTGCTGTTGTTGTAGAGACAGCGTCTCATTACGTTGCCCAGGCTGGTCTGCAATTCCTGGCCTTAAGTGATCCTCCCTCCTTGGCCTCCCAAAGTGCTGGGATTAATAGACTTGAACCACCACATCCGGCTGGGTCAATAGTTGAGACTCCCCCAGGATGCCTGGGATAATTAAATGAGATAATATATGTGAAAGGCCTTTTGTAAGCTGTGAAATCGTCACACCCCTTCATTGTTTCTGGTTTTGTTGATGAGGGTCTCCACACGTAGTTGAAGGCAGTCACCTCGAACGCTGGATTTGACAGCAGGGATCCCAGCAGCCCTCGGCTCTCCTGTGCCACCCTTTGCAGTCCAGGCTGAGGGTTTTTCTGGGCCAAGTGAACAGCGGATGGTGCCTCACAGCAGAAGCCTGAAAGCCCCTGCTGCCTGGGCCATGAACGCAGTGTGCTCAGACATGCAGAGACGCTGGTTCTTACCCACTCCCAGGGGTGGGCTCACGCTGCACCTTGCACTTGGGGGGTGAGGAATTCTCTTCTTCTGGGCAGGGCTGGGGCGACGGGGAAGCTTTTATAGAGAAACCTGCATGGCCTCAGAGTCCTCCCCTCTTAGCCCCTGGCCTGAGTCCCCAGCCAGCACCCAGGGTAGCAGTTCTGAAGCAGAGGGGCTTTGTTCCATTGTGCTTGGAAGCCCAGGAGCCACCTTGTTGCTTAGGGTGACATGGGGGCCTACACACAGAGGAGTGAACTTAGAATTCTAGTGACTATGGCTGGGTCACCGGAGGCCAGGGGCAGAGATGAGCACCTGTCCCTGTAAGCTGTATGACCTCCAACAGGGCCTAGAGAGGTGCCAAGGGTGCAGGTCTTGGCCATGTGCCCCTTTGCCCCTCTCTGAGGGGTTAGACGCCCAGCCCAGTGGCCCAGAGCCTCACCCCCGGAGGTGGGTCCATGCAGCACATCAGCCAGGCACTGGCATGGTGGCCCCCAGGCCCCAGCTGCCTCATACATCCCTGTTGAGTCTAATGATAACGCCTTTCCTCCCTTGCAGGTCTGTGCAGACTTTTGCAGACAAATCAAAACAAGAAGCTCTGAAGAATGACCTGGTGGAGGCTTTGAAGAGAAAGCAGCAATGCTAAACCTCTGCTTCACGCTAACCAGACGCCGTGCACTCGTTAGAGTCCTTTCTTAGAAAACATGTTTTCTGCTCCCTCCCTCGTCCCTTTCCTCCCCACAGGTCACATAACAGCTGCATCATTGACCGCACAGCGCCATCTCTCCCTGAGAATAAAGCCCCATAGCCACCCTCCTCCGGCTCCGAACCTGCTTCCGCCACACCTCGCTCTCAGCTCTCTCCACATTTCCATAGAGACCGTGTGGTTTTTGTTCACCCAGGGGCCCCGTTTTCCTCCCCATCCCCACATTTATAGCATAAAATCCACTGTCTGCCAGCCTCCCTTCCCTCCCACCTTTTTGTTACATTGGTGTAAAAAATGTAAAACAAAAAAATTTTATGAACTAACTGTGGTGTGTGAAAGAGAGAAGAAAAACTGGAAATCTGATTCTGTGTGTGTTTGGGAGTTGCTTGGGTTTGGGGGTCATGGGGAGAGGGGACAGCTCTGGGAGCAGAGGTGGCCTGCGGTGCCGTCCTGTGCAGACTCGCCCGTCCCACAGAGGCTGCGGGGTGGGGGCTGGGGGGGGCCCGCCGACCGTTCCGCTCTTCCGGCCAGGTGCTTTTCTGTCAATTTCTATGGAATGCAAAAGGAGGTTTTTGTTTTATTTTGTTTTTTTGTAAAGCTTAAGAAAAAAATCTACATCTTATACTTGAGCCTCCATACTTAAAAAAAAAAAAAAAAAATCAATAAAAAGAAACTGGGACACAGTTAGCTCTGGCCTTCTGTGTTCCTTTTCGCCGGCCTCACTTTCCAAGCACGTGTGGCTTTGGCCGTGCGCTGGCTCCAGGCAGGGGTGTGTGTGGGGCCCCGCTTATGGCAGCAGAGAAGGCATCCAGACCCCGGCCCCACCACCCTGAGAACACACCGGGTATGTGATGAGGTGCAGGGTCCCCATCCCTTTCTGCTCTCCACCCTCGGAAGGCAGGGGCACCAGCAAATACCGTGTGCTAGCACTGCCCCACACACCTCCCCATGCACCTCCTGCCACCTTCCCACAGTGAATTGTGCAGATGTAAGGCAGCAGAGGTCACACACAGCTGTGGAGTCTCTGCCTTCTCTCCTCCAAACTGCCCCAGGGAGGATCCTAAGCAGATCTCAGAGTCCCTGCTGAGACAACCCCCATCTGTCTGGCCAGTCAGCGGGCTCCATACCCTGGCCAGCTCACCCATCTGAGGTCCCTAGCTCCTGGGTCTGATGCAGCATCTTTACGGAGTGCAAGTGCCATGGAAGACAGCAGAGAAGCCCCTGCCCCCTGGGTTCCTAGTGCCAGGTGGAGAACGCAGGCATGCTCCAGCCATGAGCCATGGGGGGGACACCCAGTGAGCCATTCCTCACGGGCACACAGATGCTGTGCTCCAGCCGTGGGTCATCTTAGCTGGGTGCCTGGCACACAGAAGGGGCTGGAAAAACAAACTTTGCTTTTCATTTTCTTTCATGGTAAGGTTTTATCCAGGACCATCGAGGTAGGTACACAGGCCACCGCAGTGGGGTCTTGTGGATGGAGAGAGAGACTGGGCTCAACTCCAAGGCAGCAGCATGGGCAAGTGGGGATTAGAGCCCAGGGGTGGGGGTGGGCAGTGGGTGGAAGTGACCAAGAGGAAACCTCAGGGGTCAGGGGCCTTCTGGCCAAACCCACCTAACAGGATTCTCACTGAAGACAGGATAGGATGACCAGACATCACCTGGGGGCGGGGATCAAGGATGAGGCCAGGTGAGGTGGCTCACGCCTACAATCCCAGCACTTTGGGAGGCCAAGTTGGGAGGATGGCTCGATCCCAGGAGTTCAAGGCTAGCCCGAGCAACGTAAACCCCATCTCTACAAAAATTAGCCAGGCGTGATGGTATGCGCCTGTGGTCCCAGCTACTTGGGAGGCTGGGTTGCGAGGATCACTTGAGCCTGGGAAGTTGAGGCTGCAATGAGCCAAGATTGTGCCACTGTACTCCAGCCTGGGAGACAGTGAGATCCTGTCTCAAAAAAAAGAAAAAAAAAACAAGGATGGACTTTCTTGTAAAATTGACTTAGCAAGAGATTGCTGAAACGGGGTTTGACAAGGACACACACGTGCGCCTGGGAGAAGGTTCAGGAGCCTGACCCAACTTTGGCCAAGCAAACAGTCTTTATCAGTTACCACTTCAAGAAGGTGAATCCCAGGCACGGTGGCTCACGCCTGTAAACCCAATACTTTGGGAGACCAAGGTGGGCGATCACCTGAGGTCAGGAGTTCAAGATCAGCCCGGCCAATGTGGTGACACGACGTCTCTACTAAAAATACAAAAGTTAGCCAGGCATGGTGGCAGGCGCCTGTAATCCCAGCTGTTCTGGAGGCTGAGGCAGGAGAATCGCTTGAACCCGGGAGGTGGAAGTTGTAGTGAGCCGAAATCATGCCATTGCTCTCCAGCCTGGGGAACAAGAAAGAGTGAGACTTCGTCTCAAAAAAAAGAAGTTGGACAAATGGAAAATGCCTTTCCTTGGACACATCAGAGGAACTGAGGTCACAAGGGAAACAGCCACCCTGAAGTCAGTAAGACGGGCACACCCAGAGAGGCCTCCTCTCCTGGAGGAGAGGCTGCTAGGCCGGGAGGTGCTGTGCACAACAGCGGTAATTCCACAGAACTGTGGAGGTGGAGTGGACTGCCTGATCTGAGAGTGACCCGTGGAGGCTCAGGCCCATTCTCAGGGGATTTCCTTTCAGGAAACCCACCAGCAGCTCCTTGAGCTGCCACTTTCATCAGCCAAACAATCCTGTGACCACAAACAATGCTTGAAACCCAGAAACTGTGACTGATACATGTCAGTCCTGATTTGCTCTGCTACCTAGAATCTTCCACAGGGACCCTCACTACCAGTTTTTTTTTTTTTTTTTTTTTTTTTTAATTTTTTGTAGAGATGGGGTCTCACCCTGTTGCCCAGGCTGGTCTCAAACTCCTAGCTTCAAGTGATGCCTCAACCTCAGTCTCCCAAATTGCTGGGATTACAGGTGTAAGCCACCATGCCCAGCCCTCACTGCTAGTGTTTTTTTGTTTTGTTTAGTTTTGTGATGGAGTCTTGCTCTGTCACCCAGGCTAGAGTGCAGTGGCGTGATCTCAGCTTACTGCAACCTCCGCCTCCCAGGTTCAAGCAATTCTCCTGCCCCAGTCTTCTGAGTAGCTGGGAGTGTAGGTGCCTGGCACCACACTTAAATTTTGTATTTTCAGTAGAGACAGGGTTTCACCATGTTGGCCAGGCTGGTCTCAAATGTGGGTGACCCCCATTCTGGGCACCGAGGAAGGAGAGCTAAGCAGACCCCTGGCACAATTAGTGCCTGAAGAATATCTTACTGCTCCTTTATTTCCTTTTATATCATCTCTTCATAGATAATCATGTCTTAGTTCATAGACGAATGTCTAGGGCAGACATATTGCAGAGCAGAGCCTGGCCAACACAGTGAAACACCGTCTCTACTAAAAATACAAAAATTAGCTGGGTGTGGGGGTGGGCACCCGTCATCCCAGCTACTCTGGAAGCTGAGGCAGGAGAATTGCTTGAACCCAGAAGGCAGAGGTTGCAGTAAGCCGAGATGGCGCCATTGCACTCCAGCCTGGGCAGCAGAGCAAGACCCTGCCTCAAAAAAAAGAAAAAGAACTCTCCCATCTCAGAGTGGGCTGTGAAAACATGGGGAGATCTTGCACACTGAAGGCAGGTGGCGCAGATGGGCCCACACACAAGTGTGCAACTAATAGCTGCATGCCAGATGGCATCCTATGCTCTGTGGGTGTCCCCTAGGATGGGGCAGGGGAGACTGGGCCTCAGGTCTGCCTTCCCTCCTCTCTCCAGCAAAAGGCTCTTCCCCTGAACAAGCCCTGTCATCTGCTGCAGGGCTGCTGCTGGGTGTGCCCCAGGACCCTGTCCTTGTCCTGAGCAGTGGTGTGGCTTTCAAGTCTTCTTAGAAGCAGCCCAGACACAGACCTCCAGGCCTCCATACCTGCCCCTCCCTTTTCCTGAATTGCCCTCCCCTCTGACTTCAAGATCCAGCTCAAAGGCCACTCATCTGAGAAGTCTTCCCTGATTGACGCTCCAGGGGCTGGTCTCATCTTCTCATTCCCTGACCCTTTCTACCTTCCGGTCAGGTCACAGTAACCATCTCCTCTCCTGGAAGGCAGGGCCTTGGAGCTGGTTCCCCGCAGCCCAGGTGTCTGATACCAGAGGCCGCGTGGAGGGCTGCGCTTACCAAGCATCTGCAGCACCAGAATGGCTGTGGCACTGTTTCCCTTCTCGGGTTGGGAAGGGAGATTCTAAAGGCAAGGCTCACTCTGGGACGCAGCTTCTCTCCCCAAGACTACCCTACCGGATGGCTACAAAGTCCCTGGTTCTGGTTTTCCAGAGCTAGGTTTGGGTGTGTGGGGTGAGATCAGGCCAGCACAGCGGGGAGCTGGCACCTCTGTGCTCCGGGCTCCTGAGGTCCATGGCCCCAGGAAAAGTGGAATCAGAACAGGGTCTGGAGCCAGGCGTGGTGGTGTGCACCTGTAGTCCTAGCTCCTCGGGAGGCGGAGAGGAAGAATCCCTGGAACCTAGGAGTTTGAGGCTGCAGTGAGCTATGATCGCACCACTGCACTCCAGCCTGGGCTAAAAAAAATTTTTTTAAAAAGAGCAGGTCTGGAAACACTAGTTTTGGAGTCCAGGAAGCACTCGGGGCTCAGTCCTGCCCTCCTCCTCACTCTCCCACCTTGCTCCTGTACCTGCCACTTCTTCCTACTGCCTTCAATCCTGTCTTCCCCTTTGATGTCTCCCGCTCATCCTTCTCAGTTGTCACCTCCTCCAGGAGGCTCTCCCTGATCTTCAGGGAGATCTGGTCATGCTCCTCTTCTCCAACTAAAAAATCATCAAAATTAACCTTTATTGAGCCCTTACTAAAAACTCCATAATGTCAGCATTTTATGCGATCCTTGAAAGGACACAGGAAGTGGCAGTACTGTACCATTTCACAGATGAGGAAACCTAGGTACTGAGTAACTGTGAGGCAGAACCCAGATCTCACAGAACCTCAGCCCTTCTGCTTCTTCCTGAGTACTGAGGGGCAGGCCCCCCATGGGGTGTCACTCTCGATGCTGTGTCCCCACAGTGAGGTGTGGGGCCTGTCAGGAGAGGGCACTGAGAAGCAGGCTAAAGAAACCAGAGGCCCCAGGAGGCTGCAGCAAGGCTGCAGGCAGATGCAGTCCCATCTGCTCGGCTTGTCCCGGATCCCCACGCACTGCTGGTCCCCAAAGCAGCCCCGACCCATGAGCACCTTGGGGAAGAGGCAACAAAAGCAGGCCTCACACAGAGGTACCATTTACTCAGTTGTATTTTTATTATTATTATTTTGAGATGGAGTCTGGCTCTGTCACCTAGCTGGACTGTAGTGGCTGATCTCAGCTCACTGCAACCTCCACCTCCCAGATTCAAGCAATTTTCTTGTCTCAGCCTCTCAGGTGGCTGGGGCTACAGGTGTGCACCACCACTCCTGGCTAAGTTTTGTATTTTTAGTAGAGATGGGGTTTCACCATGTTGGCCAGGCTGCTCTTGAACTCCTGACCTTGTGATCCACCGTGCCTGGCCTGTTTACTCAGTTGTCTGGAGTTGACAGGACAGTCCTGAGTCCAGCAGGCGGCAGCTGTGGCCCCTGGGGTGAGCAGGCAGAATGAGGTAGGTGGCGGGAGGGGCAGCTGCACAGTCTCCTGAGAGGCCCTGGGGT